AAAATCTTTGGCCATTATTATTAATTATTGATTAGTTTTATTTTTTTTTTTTTTTTGTCGTCGTCATCATCATCATCATCATCATCATCCCATGATTGGTGTTATCGTAGGGTTGCTCGTCATTGTCCAGAAGTGTTCTGGTATTGGAGATTGGCAAGATCTCCATTGATTGGTGGTTGGAACGCTGTCTGAAGGCAAGCTGGTCGAAACTGAAGTTGATTGACCAAAGCTTTACAAATAATGTTATCCCATTAGTGCTACTTTGATGTGTCTCTCAGTGACAGAAGTTTACATCGGTTCCAACACAGAAATGTTGCTTTATGCTTGTTAGTTGCTTTGCTTCGGAGTTTTTGCGTTGACAAATGTACATCAGGAGACGACAGAAGAAAAGTATGCGAACAATGTAATGTCAGTCGGGGAGAGTACATCGAGAAGTATATACAGGAAGAAACGCTTGATGTCATTGAAGTTCGTAAGTTTCAGGGATACGGCATTACAGGACGATTATTTGACTTAAAATCATTCCTGTCAAACCATGAAATGAAGGTTGTCTTAAATGAGTTCTCCTCCAGTTCCTTTCACACAAACACCGGTGTTCCCCAAGGCTCTATCTTGGGTCCTACACTGTTCCTGATCTTCATCAATGACCTTCCCGATGTCATCAGTTCGCAAGTTGGCATCTACGCGGACGACACCATTATTTACTCCAGCCTCAATAGTAAATCCGGCATCGTTGATAAAACTAACCTGGCCATAAGCCTCGAGAAGGACCTCCAATCTGTGGTTGACTGGGGCAGGAAATGGCCTGTAATCTTTAATGCCTCTAAAACGAAACTGCTCTCATTTACCCACCATAGAGAACCCTCCCTGCCTCCCATCAAGATGACTGATGCCCAACTCCACGAGAGCGCCTCTCTTTGCCTGCTTGGTCTCATGTTGTTCAATGACCTGAAGTGGAACAATTACATTGAATCTATAGCTTCATCTACCGCAAGGAAAGTTGGTTCTCTGTGTCGCGCCAGAAGGTTTTACTCACCTGAGTCCGTCCTTCAAATCTACAAATCAAACATTCGTCCTTGCATGGAATACTGCTGCGATATATAGGCTGGTGCTCCCCCTGTTAATCTCGAGGTTCTAGACAAAATCCATAGACGGATATACAACGTGATTGGTCTTGATCTGGCATCCCGTCTGTAGCCACTTTCTCATGGACGTGCTGTGGCTTCCCTCTGTCTTTTCTACAGATATTTTCATGGCGACTGCTCCAAGGAGCTACTTTCACTGGTTTCCGGACTGCATAAATTTAAGCGTGCTACTAGGTTGGCATCTAGGTGCGACCCTTTTACTGTTGAAATAGTTAAATGTAACCGCCTCTTCTACTCCAGCAGCAGCTTCTCTCACACTTCCGGGCCACGGAAGTCCCTTCCCCTTAATTGCTTCTCCGATAATTTAAATGTAATGTCAATCGTCATCTTCTGGTGCCTTGATCTCCGTTCTTCTTTTCATCTTTTCATCAATCCTCCTATACCTATTCTTTTCTCTTACCTTCACTCTCTGTAACCCCTTGAACACTAGTGGCACTCCTGTTTTTGCTTAGGGTGAAATATTTTAAAAAATATATATATATATATATATATATATATATATATATATATATATATATATATATATATATATATGAAAAATAATATATATATTATTAATAATAATATATGTATTAAAACAAAGAACACAGAAACACTTACCAAGTATACTTTCGTCTTGAATCGACAAGCACGACAAGAAACCCGGAGGGTACAACGGGCAAAACATTGTGATAATAACAACAAAATATGAGAACAAACGGCTAAATGTAGCTATCTCTTCTACTCCAACAGCTTCTTATCTCGCATCCCCCATCAGTGGAACTCCCTTCCTATCACTTGCTTCCTTGATAGCTATAATCTTCAAATATTCAAATGTAATGTCAATCGACATCTTCTGATGCCGTGACCTTGAATCCCTGTCCTCCTCTTTACTCTTACTTTATTCCTCTTTACTCTTACTTTCACTCTCTGTCTTACATGCTAGTGGCACTCCCGCCTTGCTTGAAGTGATTTGCTTAAAAAAAATAGATACGTCTCCTTGCTTTATTGTTAATTCTAGCGCTTATTTATAGGTAATGTGGAGTGCTCCTGAGAGTATGGAAGTAGTCTAGCTAGTGCAAAGCCATTTTTGAAGAGAGATAACCCTGGGAGGGCGTTCAAAAGTGGAAGATGATCAATTATAAACTGTATACCAGTGCTTTTACTCACCACATTGGATCGTAGATCGAGTTGGTGAATGGGATACCCAACTATGTAAACGTCCTCTCTTGCAGTCACGCGGACTTCCACTCTCATCGAATAAAACTCAATGAATCGCCACTGAAATCCTGCTCAAGATTTATGACGACGATCTCTGATTTCAAATCATTTATTTCCAGTCCGACATAGGACAGAGCCGGTTATGTAAAATGCAGGATGATGGATTGTGGTCAGCGTATGATAACATCATCTATTAGGCTGAGTCATAAATAATTTCCGCCTGCGTTTATCATCTTTATTCTTCAAAAAATAAAGTACATTTTAGTCAATTATATATATATGGCAAAGACGCATATGCTCAGCTATGAATAAAGCACCAAATTGGAAACCAGGTCTAGCCTTTACGGCTAGGATCCGCCATGTCACTTATATTGTAGCAAACCACCCACAGTCCCTCCGTCGGGAAGAAGTCAGTTTCACTCGAAAAGATTCTTCCCGTGAACCACTGCACTGTGGAACCGACTCCCAAGATGATGTTTCCTAGATCTTAATCTGTTCAAGTCTAGGTTTAACCGTTATCTCCATCTCCTATTTATATATATTTATATATATATATATATATCTGTATGTATGCATGTATGTATGCATTTATCTATGTATGTGTGTGTGCGTATTAATTAATATAATTAATTAGATTCGGACTATTGACGTCATTTTTTGTTGTTATTATCACAATGTTTTGCCCGTTGTACCCTCCGGGTTTCTTGTCGTGCTTGTCGATTCAAGACGAAAGTATACTTGGTAAGTGTTGCTGTGTTCTTTGTTTTTAATACATATATTATTATTAATAATATATATATTATTTTTCATATATATATATATATATATATATATATATATTCTTTTTTAAATATTTCACCCCAAGCAAAACAGGAGTGCCACTAGTGCTCAAGGGGTTACAGAGAGTGAAGGTAAGAGAAAAGAATAGGTATAGGGGGATTGATGAAAGGATGAAAAGAAGAACGGAGATCAAGGCACCAGAAGATGACGATTGACATTACATTTAAATTTTTGAAGACTGTAGTTATCGGAGAAGCAAGTATGGGGAAGGGAGTTCCATGGTCCGGAATTGTGAGAGAAGAAACTGCTGGAGTAGAAGAGACGGTTACATTTAACTGTTTCAACAGCAAAAGGGTGGGGCCGAAATGCAACCTAGTAGCACGCTTAAATTTATGCATTCGAGCCACCATGGAAAATAACTTCTCAGCACAGTTGCCATGAAAATATTTGTAGAAAAGACAGATGGAGGCCACATCACATCTGTTAGAAAGTGACTGAAGAAGTCGAGGTGCCAAGTCAGGACAGATCCTTCTTTGGGTTTTATCGGGAACCTCAAGATGAACAGCAACAGTATTCAATACATGGACGAATGGTAGATTTGTCGATGTGTAGGATGGACTCAGACGAGAAAATTCTTCTGGCACGACACAAAGAACCAACATTTTTCGGTAGATACAGCTATTGATTCAATGTGTGTGTGTGTGTGTGTGTGTGTGTGTGTGTGTGTGTGTGTGTGTGTGTGTGTGTGTGTGTGTGTGTGTTTCATTAAAGACGAAAGACAAGGTACTGCGATTAACCTTTCTATTTCATTCATTTTTATTGTGTTCCAACAAGTGTTTTCTTTTCTGGACACAGAGTGTTTAGAAACTATCCAAATGTTCTGTAATTCCGAGTGTTTTCGACTATACTTTTAGACATTGTCAAGGGAGTTTTGGGTAAAGTAAATATTTTTCATCTCACTTCTGATTAGTTAAAAATGTTCCTTGATACCACGTGATGCATTCTCTGCTACATCCGCGTCTGAAATCACGTAATTTGTGCTTTTAATGATCTTGAATTGATTTTCACTGTCTATAAATTTTGAGTGCCTTTTGTAGGATTCTCTTTGCACAATATTTTTAACGCAGACTAAACATATTCTTAACTTCTATGCAAAACAGTAAACACCTGAGTAAGGCAGAAGCTTAAAGCGACACTCAGTCTTGAATAAAGACTACGAAATGAGTCTAAATGAATAAGTCGACCATTCGTTCATGCTTTGAATATTGCTGCTACATCTGGCCTGATGCTTCTGCTATGTATTTAGGGATTCTTGATAAAATACAAAGAAGCTGATCTTGCATCTCGTCTTTAGTCAGCTTCCTACCGCCGTGATGTAGCTTCCCTGTGCCTTTTCTATAAGTACTTTCATGGTAATTGTTTTGATTAACTAGATTTTAGTACCTAGATTTTATGAGTTAAAGCGGAGTACTAGATTAGAAGCAAGGCTTAGATGTAACCCTAAGTTCTATGTTAACAGTTTCTTCTCTCGCACTTATCACGTGTGGAACTTTCTTCCTTGCTTCTTGCATCCTAGTCAACTTTGATCTTCAAAAGTTTAAATGCAATGTCAGTCGTTATCTCCTGTCGTCTTAATTCCAGCTCTTTCATTGTTTTCTCTCCTTAATATTTTTCTCAGGCACAAAGTAGTCCCTTTCGTTTACGTGGCTTGGGGTGAAATGATTAAAAAAAATGTTAGCGGACCAACGTTTAATTTTTCCTTCGTTTTCTTTATCTCTTTCCAGATTCAGTCTAATCTTCATTTCCGGACTGGGAAAGGTTTAAAAACCTTCAGAATAATTATCTGCCTTTTCTCAATTGCTGCCAAAGGTAACAATGAATGACGAAGAATTCGAAGCTGCTGGTCAGCAAATGCTCAAATATGTGATTGATTACCACAAGAATATCAGGGAACGTCGTGTCATGCCTGATGTGCGACCTGGTTTCATGCGAAAACTCCTTCCCGATCATGCCCCACATACACCAGAAAAATGGGACCAGTTATTCAAAGATATCGAACGTGTCATTATGCCAGGGGTAAGTAGATATTTACTCGGTTTAATCTAATCAGGCTCAAGGCTAAAATAATGGAGCAACTAATGGGGATCAAACATACTAACGATTATCTGCGAGACGAGTAATTTCCTTCTTTTCTCTGTCTTGCTCTCTTAAACAATTAAGTTGATATATGAATAGCTACTGATGAGTGAGGCCAAAATAAAATTCAATGAGTTTATAACAAGTCATCCTCTGTTTTACGTTTTGATCATATTGATTCGGGGGAGATCAAACTTTCAGCTTAACTCTTTTTGCATAAAAATGTTGATGATTTTGTGTGCCTTTTAGGTGACCCACTGGCATCACCCACATTTCTACGCCTATTTCCCAACGGCAAATTCTTATCCCGCCATCTTAGCTGACATTCTCTCTGATACAATTGCCTGTATCGGATTCACCTGGGTAAGCATAATTTGTTTCTTTATTTCCTTCTTTGTCTCTGTCTCGCTGTCTTAAACAATTACCGTATATATTAGGGTATAAGACGATTTCATGTCCAGTGCGACCCTTGACTTTTTATGAATGGATTTTAACTGCTCCAAAAATACCTTGTATAGTGTAATGATTTTCTAAGCGCTGCTTAGATGTGGCACAAGGCCGGAAGTATGGAGCACCCAGTGAGGATTGAACTCACTACTTAGTCGTAATATGTTCTAGCTAGACAAGCCTGCTAACCATTACACCACGCTGAGGTGCCCAACCCTTGTATAGTGTAACTGGTCACGGAAAGTGCATAATTTTTAACCTCTTCGAAAAGAATTACCTCTATATGGTACGGCCCCTTATACACGGGTATATTACAGTAAGTCGATATAAGAATAACTACTGAGAAACGAGCTCGCTACCAGTAACATGTTAACCACTTCTTCAACAAGAGGGTCGCTCCAAAGTTAATGCCTAATTGCCACGAACCTAAAGAAAGATAAATTGTTCGCGGGTCAATCCAAAAGTAACGCCTCCTATTTTATTATATTGGCACACGATGCTAAAGGTAGATATTGGTAGTATGGTCGTAGAAGTTGAACCGTCCTACCAATAACCCAAGTTTTTTTTATAAGATTGTTACATATATCAAGAGAGAATTCTGGTAAAATACTATTTGATATAAAAGGGCATACAAAACAGAAGTGTGTCATCTAATTCCTCCATGCAGAAACAAATGATACCTATTGACATTCTTCGATGTTTGGTAAATATTTAAAGAAACCAGACAGTGAATGTGAGCACAGTTAACCGGTGGTTAATAAGTTTCAGCAGTTGCGACAGTGATATGTGTGATAAGCTACGTTTCGAGTGAACCGAGGAAATGAAGAAAGTTTCAATCAGCGTATATGCGTGAATCGGCGGATTTCGACAATCGAACTGAATGCGGGGCTGGATGTTGTCTTTAATGTGTTGAAAAAGATGATGGTAATATAGAAATACCGCAAAGTTCGTGTCAGATGAATTCGACGGATGTTTGCATAAGAACGAAAAGATTTCCAAAGGAGAATTTCTCAGACCAGAAGCTGGTGAACTACTACGAGACTAAAAGTGTCACTTTCCAGGTCCCTACGATTAATGGTGATCTGAGAATTCCCCATCAAAGAATAATGTCAAGACACAGCCACCAGCAGGCAAAGTGGTGTGCGCTGTCTTTTGGAATAGGAAAGGTATGCTTCTCCCGGATTTCATAGATTTTGGATAAAACATCAGGTCTGACCTTCACATCGTAACACTGATAAAACTGAACCCCGAATTTCCAGATTCAGACCAGAAAAGAAGGCAAACTTTTGCTTGTAATACGATACCGCTATGTCCCACACCAATTTGAAATCTATGGATTACATCACAAATTTTGGCTGAAATATTCTACTACACCAGCCATATTCATCCGTTCGAACCGATAAAAGATGGACTACGGTGACATCATTTTCCGAAACAGTCCAGTCAGGCCTACTGTGAAAAAGTGTATCGCCTTCATTGACTTTTACAAGAACGGCATGCATGCTCTCGTGGCACTGAGAGAGTTTGTATACATTCACATTTTTGGTCAAAATCTTGGATCATCCACGTTTTTCCCGGAGCTAAAATCCTCGTTAAAAGGATGAAAACTGATAGCAATCCCTAAGGCAATGATTCTCAACCGCCGTCCCGCAGCACACTAGTGTACCGCGCGATGCTCTTAAGTGTGCCGCGAAAGAATGAATCAAAATCCCTTCATAAATGATTAAAATTAAGAAATATTAATGTTTATTGACTTACAAAGATTGAAAGTTTAAATTAAACATTAAATGTACGTTTATAAATATTCAAACTGACGACGAAGTCAAAAAGAGAGTACATTTTCGGGATACCATATATATATATATATATATATATAAAAGAAAGAGGTTGTAGTGGTTCCAAAAAGAGAAAAGTATGTATATTAAAAAAAGAAAAGAAGAAAAGGTGCCGCAAACGTTTTTTGGTTGTAATGTTTTTATTTAGAAAAAAAATATTATGCTTTGTTTTCAATGTTAACGTATTCTCGGTCTGAGTAATTCAAGAAAGTAAAATTCGGATTACTATATTATTAAAATGTTTTTCTTTTGTTTTTCAAGAATATTTTAAGTAATTGAAAAAAACTAAAAGAAAAATTATCGAGAATATTTTTGAAAAAAAAAAAAAAATTAAATATTCTCCGCTTTACCTGAAGACGGTCACGAGACCAGAAACATTGTAGTACAATTATGTAAAACCAAGCATAATATTTTTTCTAAATAAATCCAGATTACAACCAAAAAACGTTTGCAGCACCTCTCTTTCTTCTTTTTAATATATATATATATATATATATATATATATATATATATATATATACAGAGCGAGAGAATTGATGAAAATTCAAAATAACGCGTCCATACCTATGTAAAATTTATTAGGAACTTCTTGATTTCATAAAATTAATTAGTGTAAGGAGTGAGCAGAAGTAAAAATGTTTTAAAACTAAAGCAATTTTTAAAGCATAAATAAAATCAGATTTTTAAAATAAATACGGAAATTTTCATTAATTTTCATTTAGTTGAATTTTAGCAGATTTTTAAATTTGTAAATTGTAAGCTCTTCTTGCAAAATCTAATTTTGAAACACCACAAGAGAATAAACGTTGTAAGCATGTAAACATATTTTAAAAGCACGTAACTCTGCTTTACCATGAAAGGGTTCAAAATAATAGTTTTTATGACAAATTTTTTAACAATCCTTCCTTTTTTCAATGATATAAATATTTTTTAAAAATGACTAATCCATAATAAGGATATCTGTCTATATTTCGGAGATGGGGTATTGTAATTATTTACACTATTTACATTTTTCGGACTGGTGTCCTCATATCTGTTGCCGTATTCAGGATGTTTCGGCTTTTGTACACTCCAGCCTTCTTCAGGTGATTTGAGTTTCGAACTGAGCATTTTATATCGTCCAGCGGGGTAAATTGTGCTAGTTCCACGTGTTAGGCCTTTCCTAGATGTCTCGGTTAACTCAACTCACTAAGTTTTTGCTCAACTGTAGCCAGGTATTGAACTCGCAGTACTTTGGGCAAGTCACTGGATTAAACCAACGCTTTTATCCACTGGCCTATGTGTCCTTTTGCAAATAGTGCAAACAACAATAATAAGGATAAATAATATTTTTTGTCAAAGGCGTCCAGATTTTAAAGAGATATTTTAAATAAAAAACAATTCACGTATACATATATAACTGCTCCTATGAAAGGCTTACAATTTCCAGCACCATCTTTTTCTTTTGCACCCGCATAATAGAATTCAAGCAGAACAAATAATTAAGTTGCTACACGACTTCAAATTAATAATTTCCGTCTTATTTTCAGGCTTCCTGTCCATCTTGTACGGAATTAGAAGTCATTGTAATGGATTGGCTGGTTAAAGTGATGGATCTTCCTGAAGCGTTCCTTTCGACGTCTCCAGGCCATGGTGGAGGAGTGATTCAGGTGAGCTACACATATATATATATATATATATATATATATATATATATATATATATATATATATAATATCAATTGATGATTAGTAGGGATAATTACAAGGAGGATATAAATCCAAAGAGAGCTCAATGTAAAAAACAGAACAATATAATAATGAATACAGAATTGACTTTTAAGGATTCTGTATTCATTATATATATATATATATATATATATATATATATAATCAATTCACCCCAAGCAAGGTGATAATGCCATTAAGATGTAAGGGCTACTGTGAATGAATGACAATGAAAAAACTTGAGAAGCAACCAGAAACCCAATCCTAAACTGGAATCAAAGGATAAAACTTTACTCCTATTCAAAAACCGTGGAGGAGTAGAAATCACACGAACCTATTTAAGAAAAAAATATTAAATAAAATTTCTGATGTTTAGGTGGTGACGTTAGAAGTATACAGTTGAATTCAACTTTAGATGAAACAAGGGGTAAACCCCTACTCCTGTTCAAAATAACGGCGAGGAGTGTGAATCGAATCATTGGCGAACCTGTGTGTGTGTGTGTTATATATATATAATATACATATAAAACATTATATATATTATACAGCGAAACAGTACTGTCTGCAAACGATATATATCATTCGCAGACAGTACTGTTTGGCTGTATAACAGCTCCTCAGTGCAACTAGAAGTTCGAAAGCCTCAAGCCAGGCTCGAAACCCGACCGATTTGGTGTCAGTCGGAATTTCTATCCCTAAGCCATCAGCACTCGGAACTGCTAATTCTAGCGTATAAACAGTGTGTATTAGGTCATCATAGCAACCCCAGAAGCAAGCCAACGATACCAGCCTGCGTAATCGTCCTGCCGACACTACCTGTGTTGTTGGCAGCAAGGGTTGCAAATCATCATCTGGATTGAGGAAGCACACGGTGGTACACTGCAGAGTTGTAGGCCATACAAATCCAATCAACACAATCAAAGATACAGAGTTTATCTGTTCATATATGCATGATACCTGTGAATATTGGTTTCAATAGTCATCTTAGACGCCATCGAAACGAGACGGAAGACATCGCAAGTGATGCGTGGGTAAGGTGGCGGCTATCATCTGATCAAGATGTAGCAATCAGCTTGTATGTATGTATAAATATATTGCAGGAATTTCTAAAATAAAACGCGCGACTTACAATCGGTCCACTAGATTTTCGTTTTTTTCTGTCAAATTACCATTTTCTTTCGGAATCATATCAGACTGATTACAAAAAAAAAGTCCAAATAAAATTTATTGATTCACTTAGATTTGATTGATTCATTTATAAAAACAGAATTTTTTCTTTGGCTTGCAAAAATGTATAAATTATACGATGTAGTCAACGAACTGAAATGTTTAGAAACCGCTGGTAATAATGGTAAAAAATATCCTATCTGAAATTTTAGCTCGCCTCTTTTGCGAAGCAAGTACACGTTATTGTTCCACTTATCAAAGAAGTTTAATTTTTTTATATATTCTTCCAGGGGACTGCTAGCGAAGCAACTCTTGTTGCTGTTCTGTCAGCAAGGACAAAATTTATAAATAAAATCAAAGAGAAAAACCCTAGCATGGAAGATGGCGTGGCGCTCACTAAACTGATTGCTTACACTTCAAGACAGGTAAGAAAAACAATTAACTGATATAACAACAGAACTCAGCTAGTCTCCTCTTCGGAAGGTATATTCTGTCATTATGATTTTATGATTTCTTGTTTTGTTGTTACTATGTTTAGGCCTGTCCATTCTACAGCCTTCTTCTACTATTCTCAAAAATTACCAATTTGGCTTGCTTTTGAATCGCCGTTATACTTTGCAGATATGCCTGAACTCAATAACTGTTTCTTACCTGACACCTGGTAATTGTCTATAGCCAGGGTGACTCAACGACCTTCTGTCTTAATATCTCCTAACAATTTCCTAGCTTAACGTATTTATTTCTATTCATTTTCTGTCTCAATCTTATTTGTATAAAATGATATTTAATATACATATAAAAATATCTTTATAACAGTAATATATGATGACGGAAAATATATATTCAAGAGTAATAACGATATCTTAGATGCCAACACCCGTGGAATTTCCGTGGGTGCACTTAGTTAATACTAACTGGCAATGCGTCATCAACTAATAAATTCAACATACCAGTATTAAGAGTGTATTAAATAAGATGCTGGCTCTTCCGGAATGATAAAGGATGAAAGTTACATGTTTAGATTTGAGCATTTGTAGTCGTTAGGTATCCGTAGCTTAACTAGTAAGACAGCTGTCGCGGTAAGACAGGGTTTCTGAGTCTTACTGATCATTACTAACGGCCAAAGATTGAGTACTTTAGAAATGTAACCGAACTTAATATGAAAGAAATTCAAGTCAAATATGTATAATAATTCGATTACATCGCTTTGAAATCTATGAAAAATACTATAAAAAGGGGAAGAACTGTGAAAATAAACCTGTCTTGAAAACTCTAAGAAAATACCACGAATAAAGAAAATAACTGGTAATAAAATGTTTGTCTGCCTTTCAGTCACATTCTTCAGTGGAACGGGCATATATGATTGCGTTGGTCAAGTATCGAATCCTAGACACTGATGAAAAGCAAGCGTTACGTGGGGATACTCTAAAGAAGGCCATCGATGAAGACAGGGCGAAAGGATTGACGCCATTTTTTGTAAGTATTTGCTCCTCTGGCAATATGTATTGGAATTACGCGTATGCAAATCGTTAAATTCAGAATCCGATTTTTTTTAAATTTCTTAATTAAGTCGAAAATTTCCCACTTTTTACTTAAAAAAAAGCCAAAGTGGTTCTATCAGGAAAAGTGGGAATTGCTTCAATGCTAAATACAGTAAAATATTTGTGACTAGTGAATTGTTATAATGTTATTAAAGTCATGCACCAGAGAGAAGATTCATTCTTTCCAAAGCTCTTTGCAAATTCAGCATAATTGGTTTGGTTTTTTTTTTTTTTTATTATATCAAGATCTTTCAGCTTTTCAATTAAAGGAAGCGCTTTGCGGTTTGTCTTTGGCAGGTCCAAATTGCAAGCATCACCACCCTTGCTTTGTAAGGAAAACTTACGAAATGTATATTTGTATGTGTGACCGTGGATGACTAAAACGCCGGATAGCGAAACCGCAGTTTAGAGAGATCGCACTACATTAAATAAATTAAATCATTGATAAATAAGCTACGATCTCAACCAACTGAATTTGCTTACGTCTCATTAGGAAAATTATTGTTCAGTTATATTAAAGGACATTTAAATCAGTTGGTAGTTATTTTAGCAAACGAAATAAGAGCATATTATACATATCTCTATTGATAGATATTTCATCTATCGATAGAAGTAGGTACCCTAAGCAATCGTGTATCCCTGTGATTAAGATATCAATGTTTATTTTTCTTTCTCAGGTATGTGCCACGTTGGGAACCACTTCTTCTTGTGCGTTTGACAACTGTAAAGAAATTGGAATTGTCTGTGAGTATTCTTTGTTTTTACGGACTTGCTTCCTCATGAACATTTTCCAAACCCTTTAGATTGTCGATGTGCCACGCCTTGTAATTCCCTCTCATGATATCTCCCAGGACAATGTGGTTTATTTGATGGTGCCAATATCCCCTCTAAATGATACATGACAGGTTATACTAAGTTGCATGCTACCAACTTGTAAAGAACGTACCTACGCCCTGATTATTATCGAACGCCCATCATATAATGAACGGAATAAGAAAGTATAGTTGTTCCACATATCAATAAACATAGATACTCTATAAAGTAACCTCGACTGACCTATTATCGGACATTATTTACAAAGTTCAAAGGCATTAGTGCTATGTGAACATGAACTGTTCCAGCCGGTGTTTGAACTCGTTTCGCTGATTTCACTCCTTAGAAGAAACTAAAAATGTTCAAGATTTTCCAAGTAAATGAAAAGTTTCGTCTGGCTAAGTACCCGTTGTCAGTTTCTAGATTATTTGTTCTGACCTGCGGCGCAATTGAAATCTCGAAGTGTAAGTCATATAAACGATCTTCAAGTATCCACCTACCTTCAAGCATAAACTAATGAGGGTAACGTTTCGAGTTAACGATACATGTTATACATGAAGTACGATCACGAGAAAATGTTTCAGGAACATAGTATCAAATTTATTAAAAATTGTATAACTTAAAATTAGTTTCTAGATTTGATACAAAATGTGAATTGATAAAAACGACAAATGAAAGAACATTATAATTAAATCATGCCTATCGTTCTAACAATAACTAACATTCTTTCTTCTTAGTATCCAATGTATTATTATTATTATTATTATTATTATTATTATATTTCCTTTGATTTCTGGTGTATACACCTTTCTTTCCGGGTCCCGACCAGAGACCTAAGGTCAGAAATGGCATCATGACATTTTCCATTGAGCAATTTAAAAACAAAAAACATATTTTACATAGATAAAGCCCTTCGTAAGGTGTGGGCTGTACTTGTGAGAATATTTTTTGTATTTCTTTAAGGCTCGGGCTACCTTCAATGAGTCTATTGGAATCTTTTCCAATCAATCCGAGGACTCCAACTACGACAGGTATTGTTGATGTTCTCATGTGCCACACTTTTGAGATTTCGATTTAAAGGTCCTTGTATTTTGATAGCTTTTTGAAGATGTTCAAAGATACATTGCAGTCTGCAGGGACTGTCATATCAATAAGGAGACACTTTTTTTGTTTGCGGTCTATAATAACGATGTCTGGGCGATTAGCTTTGATTATTCTGTCTGTTCGTATTATTATTATTATTATTATTATTATTATTATTATTATTATTATTGAGTGGGAGCGCAGCGCAGCATGTCTAAAATTTGACGGTATATAAGACGCGCGGGTGTATAAGACGTACCCCAATCTCAGCAGGGCAAATCAAGGAAAAAAACAGTAATTAGTGAAATTAGTTAACCTAAATATGGCATATAAGACACAGGTTAATTTTAAAAGATACTTTTATTTAAAAAAAAGGTGAGCCTTATATGCCATCAAATACGGTACATACGAAGCTTAATATAATTATCATGACAGCCAGTTATACAGCCAATGTACGCGATATGGTGATATATTTTGTTAAAAGCAGCACATAACTTTGCAAATGGGGCTCAGGTAAAAATAGCTTCAGGTCGGATAATTCTATATTACGGGGTTGCTCAGTTCTTTGTGGACATTTGTATGAATTTAGTAAAAGACGCAGAAGTTATGAAAGAACAGCTTTATTTGAGAATAAATTGACATGAATAATCTTGAAACTCTTCTAGATGCATCTACTTAATGAATCCGCTGTTAACATCGATGACTGCTTCAATACGAGTTCTGAAAACTTGACATGTCCGAATCAGATGATCTTTACCTAATTTGGACATTATGTTAGATATGACAAACTTCAGAGATTTTATAGTGTTATGGGGGAATTGATTGATCCCCCCTCGACTACTCCCCATACATAATAGTCTAATGGACTCAGACCTGGAGAGCTAAGAGGCAATATATATGGGGTGACGCAATGCCATACCGATAAAAGACCATCACATTTTCGTAGCAGGGACTGGGGGTAAGTTTTCTCAGTTACCAGATAATTTTTAGCTGATAACTCTTAACTATACATGTTATACATGAAGTACAATCACGAGAAAATGTTTCAGGAACATTGTATCAAATTTATTAAAAATCCGACACATAGCAAATTCATTCTGAAAGGAAATTCTCACCCATCAAATTTATTTCAGTTGAGGTTTATCATAGATTATATTTGGATTATCATAAGTTCATTAGTATACTATAAAAAGTCAAAATTTAATTTTATTGAGATCTGTTTTTCACCATTATTAATTTTATTGAACTATTGTATTACTTAGTGTTTTAATGTACTAAACTACTGTTATCTATTATAACTTTGCAATTTTTATTGGAATGAAATTTATTAGAATATAGCAAATAATTTTTACAAACTTTTTTTCTTCATAATAACTAATATATATTTAAGAAATATTGTTTGAAAGTTTAAAAAAAATTACGCTTTTTCAACTAAACATCCGCTGTATTTTAAAATCTCTCAATCTTTTTCCAACTTTATTAACAGCTATTTTAATTCCTTACATCTGCTATTCTCTTTGATATATTCAGATAAATTTTGATATAATATTTTTGTACGAACATTTCTCTGTACAATAACGTACGTGTCCGTTGAACAAAAATTGTTTAAATAAAACACTTTTGAACCTTTTCCCCAAATATCTTTTTGTATTTCAACTGCATTCAAAAACGTTTCTTTTCTTATAATCTCAGATGATATAAAATCATAACGAGTATTCTTGATTATTTGGAATATATATTGAAGTTAGACGCGTAGGGAACATTGAAAATTTTTAAAAATCTAACCACTGTTTAGATTTATAAAACTTAAATTCTTTTAATTCGGGGAAACTTTATAATTTTGTTAAAAACATTTTTGAGCGCTACTGTTGAATATTATCCCAAAACGGTCAAAAGGTGTTGTGTAACAATAGGCAATTATAATGAGTAAAATAAGGTCCGGGTGCTTCGTCTCCCAAATCAATATTCAATAATTTGCCATCAAGTGTGATACCCAGTCCTTTACCAAAACCAAAGACAACAAAAAGTTCTGCTTCTGTGTGCAGTGTGCAAAATGATGAGTTTGCACAATTCTTAGAAAAAGATAGAATTGAGAATTTTACAAATTTGTGTGCTGATATTGACCATCATGATTTTGCGCCAGCTGTTACCGCCTACAAATGATACAATCAACAGTTGATCCAGTTTTCTCATTTTTTCAGTGGAGTTATTATGATTTTTGAATTTTACCATGCAGGTATACGCACACACATTTCTTCCCTATTGAAAAACAGAATGAATATGTTTCAACATTTGTCTCAAACTGAGGAAAGAATTTGTTACCTTGGTAACTTGAAAATTGAACGAATGAAACCGGTTTTGAGACAACATATCGAAGTTATGCCACCACAAATAGTTGGCAAAATGTTTACGAGTTGGAAATTCTTGCCCGGGCATTCGAATATTTTGCCACATCTCGGTCTCTTTATAACAGAATTCGAGATGATTACAAATTATCCAGCGTGAAAACACTAGTGGATATGACATCAAAAGTTTCGAAGGTAGATGATCTGAACTTTCTTAGGGATGTGTTTAGCAAAATGTCAGATCAACAGAAAAAATGTATCATCCTAGTTAATGAACTTTATGTTAAATTGAGCTTAAAATACCATGAAGGAAACTTATTTGGTTTTGCCAAAGATTCTGAAGAAACATTTTCAAAAGCTGTATTGGATATTATGATCAGATGTTTACATGGTGTCCGAAATATTTTGAGATGATCCCAGTTGCCAAACTAAATTCAGAATTTTTGTTTCAGAATTTTAGAAATGTTGATTTAGTCAATAATTTGAAAGGTCATGCAATTTCAGTTATTTGTGACAATAATCGGGCTAATCAAACTTTATTCAAGGAATTTGATACAGTTGCAAATAAGCCATAGTTTACTAAAAATGGTTTATACTTGCTTTTCGATTATGTACATATATTTAAAAATATTCGCAATAAGTGGATAACTGAGGCTTTTTTAGAATTGCTGTTTTTTCTGATGGTAAAGAAATGACAGCAAAATGGGAAATGGTGAAAAAACTTTTTGCGTATGAAAAAAATCAATTTGTTATGTTATCAAAACTAACAGAAATAGCGGTTCTTCTAAAACCGTTTGAGTGACAAAAAGTTTCCTATTGTTGGAAAGTGTTTTGTGATGAGAATGTAACTTCAATGAAAACTCACCTATTATTACAGGATGAGCTAATTGGTAAATCTGACGATTATTAACGATATTTCTATAAATAAAGAGACAGGTAACTCTAAATAAACAAATGCAAAAGCATAATATTTCAAGGAGTGATTTTTATTTCCATTTAGGTTATTTATAGAATTTGTACTTGTGTCAAAAGTTCATGACTTGTATATTGCGAAAAAAAACGGATATCAGTCGATGATATCAAGTACAGAAACATGGTTCAAATGTGATAATATGTGTTTAACTAATCAAAAATTTAAATAGTCCTCATTTTGGTTGTTTTCAACACAACATTTTTACTATAAATTTTAGTTTGAACTTTGTTTTTGGATTATTTTATGATGTGAAATGAAGAAGACTATAGTAAAAATGTTGTGTTGAAAACAATCAAAATGAGGACTATTTAAATTTTTGATTAGTTAAACTCATATTATCACATTTTGATATGTCCCGGAAAGGGATATATTTGAACGAAATAGCTAAGTGGTTTTGGCTACTATAACCAAGTAGAATATGGTAGCAGTAATCGACTGGTACGCGTCTTAGTCGCAGGTAAGAAGTGTAGATCAATGGCGTAGTCCTATGGGCGTCGTTATAGACTTAGCTCTCAGACTTAAGGCTCTGACTCTCATACCTACACGCCCGTCGATATTTATGACGGACACCAGCCAATCATATTCCAGTGAGGGGGGAACACGGGTGCACGCATATTCCATTATATCGCATCTGAACCATGTTTCTGGGCTTGATATCATCGACTGGTTCGGATCCATTTTTTTCGCAATATACAAGTCATGAATTTTTGACACAAGTACAAATTCTATAAATAACCTAAATGGAAATAAAATCACTCCTTGAAATATTATGCTTTTGTATTTGTTTATTTAGAGTTACCTGTCTCTTCATTTATAGAAATATCGTTAATAATCATAAAATTTACCAATTAGCTCATTATGGTTCTTGTTTTGTATGTAAAGCACACAAAAACATCAAACTAATCCCAGAGAGTGATTTTCCTTCTGTTTGCAACTGCTATATCGATTATCTAAGAAAATTCGCATCGCCCCCAGTAAGATACCCCAATGTCCTTGGGGTGACGGGATCAGGAAGATTGTAAGTCATCCATTCTTTGGTCGTCTTGGCCTTATGAGTCGATGCAGAGTCTTGTTAGTAGATGTAACTGTTAGGACGGATGTCACGACAAGGGAGCCAACTCACTCCCTAGATGAAAACCAAGTTATACCCCTTGATCAGAACTCTCAACAACAGAGAAGAAAAGGGATTTCAAGATGGCGGTCACGCTTTCTTTCATGTTCCCTATCAGGGCACAATTAATCTACCAGCAATCCACTGGTCATCATTTACATTTATTGTTATCCAATAGTGAATAAAGGTTCGAATTGTGTGTTCGTTCTTATTTGACACAAATAAGTACAATCAGTTACTTTTTACTTCTTTTGCTCACAATCTCTGTCCAAGGCATCACAGCCTTCTCCGACATCTCCTTATAATCAACAGCATTGACTTATTACTTACGAATCTCGGAACCACCACAGTTCAGTTGCCGGAAACTTTGTGTGCATGACTGTTGGAACGTACTTAGGATCTCTTCATAACCATCTGTCATTCATTGACTTTTTGGTCCTGATCAAAGATTTTTTTCATTAGAGAAAAACCAAAACATTCTTTGCTCAATAAGCCCTTTTTGCGGATTAAACGGTTACATTTTGTCATTGCAAACATGAATTGGCTTCTCCGCATCACATATGAATAAATTAATCGAAGATTCTTATGCACAATTATTCTGATACAGAGTGCCTTGAAACACTGAACACCTTAGCAATAACGTTAATTGACTTTCTGGGGTTGTTATCGTTCAAATTTGCATGTTCTGATGGTATTATGACCTTGGACAGGCATTTTAAGTTTTGCTACTGCTGTAGAATACCCATCAGTGGCTTCCATTTCTTTGCGAGCTTTGACAACAAACGGCCGTGAAACTTTCAGTAAGCGAGCAATCTCTTAACCACTATCCTCTGCCTTCGAGGCAAATATTACATCCTGACTTTTCATTTTGCTGATTTAGCTTGATGTTTTTCATTACTTATCTGAAAAGAAATGATAATCAGAACAAGTTAAAAAATAGAGCTGTTGAAAGACATATCCTCAAAGAACTGAACAACCCTGTATATAGGTACAAGGGGTGCTGAGAAAATGTCGCCTCCTGTTAATTTCTAGAGAATCGAGAACCGACTTGGCTCTCTTAGCCTTCAAACTTAAAAAAAACAACCCATTTGACACCTGGTCGTGAGTCTACCCCTCTACTGCTTCCCATGAACCAAGATACACATATACATGTCCAACTGAATAAGGTCAAGCAACTGATAAGAACATCTATGGTACTGATCAAGATATCAATTGTACCCCTTCTTAATTCACCCACACCCAACATGTATATGTTATCTTTAATCAGTTAAGATCAGAAGCCATTTTTATCATACCTTGTGTAGCATCAAGACATATTATTATTATTATTATTATTATCATCATCATCATTCGATTTCTGCTATGGACACACTACCTACCAAGTCTGCGGAAAGACCTAAGGCAGGTCGTGGTGTGTTGTTATGGCCACATTTCATGTTAATTTTTTTTTTTTTTTTTTTTTTTTTTTTTTTTTTTTTTATCTCCGATGAAGTTGCTAGCGTTACATAGACAAAGTTCTCCTTAGTGTGTGTGCTGTACTTAATAAGACAATTTTCTGTATGTCTCTTAAGCTGGGGTTTCCAGGGATTCTTTCAATGTGTTGTTTTGTTCCATTTTTTATAATTCCAAGTGCACCTATTACCACTGGTATTATTCTTGTTTTCAATTTCCACATTTTTTTTTATTATTATTATTATTATTATTATTATTATTATTATTATTATTATTATTTCCGTTATATACACATATCCTTCTGGGTCCCAACAAGAGGCCTAAGTTCAGAAATGGTTTCATGATATTTCCCACTGATCATCTTTGAAAAAAAAAAAGTTACACACATTTTACATTGATAAATCTCTTCGTAATGTGTGAATTGTACTTGTGAGTATAATTGTTTGTATTTCTTTAAGGCATAGGCTACCAGAAATCCCTTCACTGAGTCTATCGGAACCTTTTCTAATCAATCCGAGGGCTCCAACTACAACTAGAAATATTGATGTCTTCATGAGCCCCATTTTTGAGATTTTCACTTCAAGATTTTCAAAATACATTACAATCTACAGGAACTACCCTGTCAATAAGAAAGCGCATTTTGTTTTTGTGGTTATTGATCACTATGCCTGGGCGATTAGCTTTGGTTGTTCTCTCTGGGTGTATTGTAAAGTCCCATAAATTTGTTACAGGTCCTTTCTCTATAACCGGGTCTTGGTGATGTTCATGTCAGTTTCTTGTAGTTTCCTTCCCGTAAAATTTGTAAATTTTCTCGTGCAAATATTGGCTCACTCTATCATACCGACATGTTTTATTCAGTGAGTGCTAACACCGTGCAACCTGATACAAGATGGTCAATTGTTTCTGGATATTTATCACGGAATCTGCATTTCGGTTTAACACAATTTTTCATCATGTGTGCTTGGTAAGTTCTAACTAGCAAGCACTGGTTCTGTACAGCAAGAATAAAACCTTCGGCTTCAGCTTCTAACTCTGCACTACGTAACCACTGATTGGTATGGGGTTTGTCTACATCAGATTGTTCGGTACGGAGTATTGACCATGAAAAGGCTTATCTTGCCAACGTTTCTGGATTTGGTACATTTTTGCATTTTCTTTTGCTTTCTTTTTTTCAACTTCTGGCTCTATCATCTGTCATCAATCCATAAAACCCCTGCACAAACCTTATCAATGCTAATCAATAACCCCAATGCAATTCCAGAATGGATCATTGCAGGTATTACATATCTCCTACCAAAAACGGGGGAAACAGATAATCTAAAACTTATAGTCCAATAACATGTCTGTCCAACACATATAAATTGATCACGTCTGTCCTGACAAACTGTACTTACTCTTTTCTCGATAAAAACGATATTCTTCCCCTGGAACAGAAGGGATGTCGAAGGGGTTCATATGGTTGCAAAGATCAACTATTTATAAATAAAATGATAAATGAAAATTGCAGGAAAAAAGGTACAAATCCCAACACAGTTTGGATAGATTACCGTAAAAACTTTGATAGTGTGCCACACTCTTGGATTCTTAAGGCTTTGGAAATATACAAAGTCTCTTCGGTGATAGTAAATTTCCTTAAATATAGCACGGAACTGTGGAAAGCCACATTTTACATAAATGACGCCTTGAGCGTAAAGGCTGAGTCCTGCCTTAGAGATTGATCTCGAGAAATTAGGTTTATAATTATTATTTTCCGGCGACGAATATCTTAAACCTGTTGGGACAAGTAAGGAGATTGTTTAAAAAGTAAATAAATAACCGAAAAATCTCCATCTTTTCTGTTAGTTTTATGAAATTACTGTTTAATTTCAGGCGAACAAGAAAATATTTGGATGCATATTGACGCTGCCTATGCAGGCAGTTCCTTCATATGTCCAGAATATCGGCCACTCTTGGATGGCGTGGAAGTAAGTCACTTCAGTTTATATTTGCTTGGAACCTAACATATATTCATTTCGTTTCTTTTCTTGTTAATTTCATAAACGCATCATTTTAAACGGAATAAAAATAACCAGACGACTAGCTTTTTAATTTGGAAATATTTTTGTTTTTTGCAGCACGCCGATTCCTTTAACTTCAATCCACACAAATGGATGCAGGTGACATTTGATTGTTCAACCATGTGGTAAGCTTTTGTCTTTATTTACTAAAACTATGTTATAGTCTCGCAGAATATCTTTAGAGTACAGAAGTAATTACTTAGCCACAAAGTTAATCTTCCAAGATTTAAAACTTATGATTAAGTAGATATTTCGTCAGATATTCTATTTATTAAAAGTATTTGACGAGATATATTCTCTCGTTATTATAGCAGTTGTCCTCCTTAAACGCGGGGAATATGTTTCAAAACCCCGAGTAGATGCCTGAAGCCAAGGATCGTACCAAAAACTATATATACTAAGTTTTTCCAATATATACCTACGAATTCTTTGTAAAGTAACAGGATTGGTGTCACAAACAATTTATTTCTATTCTAAACAATAAACTACATGGTTTCTCCTTCAAAGTAATCCCCCTCTGCCATGCTTCTATGCACTGCTGGAAAGATTCATCCTAGATGGCCTCAGCTCCGTCGTTACGGCATTCTTGATAGCCTCTGCGCCTTCAAAACGAGTCCCCTTGATGATTCCCTTGAGCTTAGACAAAGAAAAAAAGTCACACGGAGCAAGATCAGGTTAATAGGAAGCTTGTTCCAGTACGGCGATGATCTTCTGGGCCAGGAACTGTCGGATGCACAAGGGCGTTGTAAGCAGGTGAAATGTTGTGGTCAAGCAGCCACGATTTGCCCTGTCACAACCCTCATCTCTTCTCGCGCATTGAGCGAAGCAAATGCTGCAGGATCTCTTTGTAGAATGCTGATTGATCGTCTGGCCCTGTGGCAAGAACTGGCTGTGGACGATGCCTCTCAGACCGAAGAACGGATAAGTCCCATTACTTTTCAAACATACCTCGTATGATAAAGTTTGATTTATAAATTAGAATTCAATCAAAGGTGTACGACAATAACTAATAATAAAACAATTTTTAAAGATACTGTTATAAACATGATATGACGTAGAGATTTATCCTTACCGTAGATCTTAGCAACGTTAGCATACGATTTTTTCTTAATAAATCAATAACCTCCAACTTTTTACTTAAAGGAAACGCTCTACGGCTTCTCTATCTCAAATCCGAATTACCAGTACGACTTATTACCATAACTATTATTATGTATTTGTGTGGTTGATCGCGGATAACTGAGATTTCGGATAATGGGGAAGCTTACACTTAACATCTTAATAGGCTACCCATCTAAGTACTAACCTGATTATTTTCAGTGTGGCTTGACTACAAAGCCAAACAGGAGAGTCTTTATTGACTAAATATTGCTTAGTCTGACACAAACGCCCAAACTTGGTTATCCGAATTAGTCCCTCATTTAAGTACCAACCAGGTCCGATGATGCCTAACTTTGGTAAGAAGATTCCAGACAGACTTGCATTATACCAACTGTTTTATTTGTTGTTCGTCTTATTAGGGTGAAGAACAGCAAGGACATAAGTCAGTCATTTAGCGTCGAACCTGTTTACCTGAAACACGAGAATGAAGGACTGATGCCTGATTACAGAGTAAGTAAAAAATTCGCCTGCTCTTCTCTGTCTGTCTGTCTCTCTCTTTCTCTCTCTCTCTCTCTCACACATACACACACACACACTCTCTCTCTCTCTCTTTGGCATAACTTAGAGAATTTTTCCTCTATAAATATCTTTTACTTTTTTTCTTATTTCCCATTTTATTTTCGGGTCTGTTTTTTCTTTTCCTCTTTGATTTTTCCAAAATATATATTTTTTATGAGTTAACATTGTCTAACTATAATTGTTTTTAAATGACTATATATGCATTTCTATAATAAATCATTAATAATGCATTTACATTATACATAAAATGTCCTTCTGTCAGTAATAATTGCATTAATACTTGGTTTCATTTTTCTCTTCACTTTTGACAGCATTGGCACATTCCTTTGGGACGACGATTCCGGTCTTTGAAACTTTGGTTTGTGCTGAGATTATTCGGTGTGAAAGGTCTTCAGGATATCATACGACAGGTAAATAATATTTTTAACGTCCCATAGACTACCAACATATTTTTTATTAACCAATGAAAAGTAATATTCTTTTCGCCCCTGAGGTGACCGATCACCTTAGCCAGATGGCCTGTAAGTTCGTCTCATAGACAATTACTACTGAAATGAGTTCGAACTTCACTAAGTGCTTCATATTTGTGTCCTTTACCAGAGTGAACTAAGCCTACTAAATAACTAAGAAGTTTCACTGTATTATTGCAGTGAGTTTGATCATCATTATCGCGATCTTGTGCCATTCTAGGTTAAGCTTAATAGATATATCTATATGTGATCGTTACTGAAAAGAGATCGCAAGCTAGCAATCAATGAGTTCCATTCTTACTGAGTGACCCATATTTGTGTCCTTCTGTCAAGACAAAGCTGCGTTTAGTAAATATCTACACTCGCTGAACATTGCTACTGTAGTATGTTCAATGCATCCTCGGTGCCCCACTATGGCTTTCTTGATTATGGGTGAGTAAATTTATATTTACATATGGATTCATCCATCCTTTCCGAGGTGTGAGAGTGTAGTAGCTCAGTTCTTAGAATAGAACAGCGAGATTACTCGAACATATGATTTGGTTATATTGACGAAGGCTGGTGCAGAATGGGAGAACCGAATATAGAAAACAGGTGCACATAGCGTTCCGCAAGGTCTCCAAACGACCCTCCTCGGGAGTTGAATTCAGTGTCGTCCTTCTCCTAAACTGGTTTCAACGACTGTAAGGCTCAGTCTGTCCTGCTATTTAGCCATAGCTGGTGGAGTAGAAATGGATAATCTTTCTCGTAAGTGAAGTGAATTCTCAATCCGGGCCGCTATCAACACGTGTATAAGCACGTATAAATTCAGTTTGACCGTTGCCGATGACGTTACCTTTAAGTGATTTCAATTTTAATTCCACAAACTAAAAACACGGGACTCATAACTCGCAATTTTTAATAACAGCTGTAGTAACAAAAGGACTCAAATACAAAAAATGAACTTTGGAAAGTTTAACATTTTTAATTCTCAGGTAAAACATCTTACTCAGAAATTAGAAAAATGAAATAAAATGTTGGGCGTGCAGACCTTGTCGGTGTTGTTCAATAAAAACTTGTTTGAAAGAATTCTTGCTGCCTAAATACACCTTATATATAAAGTTGGAAAAAAATTCTGTCGCATTTGAATATGGGAAAAAATGCTTCTTTGGTTTTAATTGATATATTTATTCAAGATAATTTCCCCCTCATTACCGATGACATAATTCTATCTATTTGGCCAATAGTTGATCCTTCGGGAGTAAAATTCTTCAGGTTATTTTTATTTCTAAATAGAGAAAAATGTACTTTTCAAATTAACTTCTTAGTTTGCCCAACTTCGCAAAATATAATCAAATGACCAAACATGATCATTTTTTATCCCTTTTTAGTCAAACTGGAATCTTTCCAACATCCCTGCAATTAAAAATGAAAAAACAATTGAAAATTTAGAAAGCATTTAAAAAGATAAAAATACATGTGTATAGAATATAAAAGCAGGAAAGGGACTTAACCCACTACAAGAATTTTTTTGTGTTAAGTTAGACAAAACGATCCGTTGACTTTAAAGATAGAAAAGAAATTGGTAATATTTAATCACGATATTCCCCCTGGTTATTAATAGCATAATCTTATCTTTTTGGCAAATTGTTCATTCTCTAGGTTTCGATACAAAGAAACATTAAATATCACTTTTAACCTCTTCACAACTAATATATTTTCCTTCTAACAAAATAATAAAATTAGACAGGTTTGTCTATCACCCAGTTCACACTGCTCCCCGGTTTTGTTTTGTTTTTAATTACACTTGAGGTTTATCCCTTGTTTCCTGTTTAGGATTTGGTTTCCAGTTATTTCTAATGTCTTCTCATTCTTTTTCATTCCCAGTAACCCCTTGTACCGTAGTGGCATTATCTCCTTGCTTGGAGTGGATTTATTAAAACAAATGTTGTTATGATGTGAAAAGATGACAGTCAAATGCAGCAAAGTCATGAGAGTAAAAGGGATGGGGCAAAACTTCTATATTTAGTATCATAATCATTTTGTAGGTGGTCTTACATTATCATGTAAGAGCAATACACTTTCACAATTAACCAATGATGGCCTCTTTTTCTTCAAACTTTCATGCAACACTTCAAACTGATGACAATACTTCTCCATATCAACTGCCTTCATTTTGGATTAACACTTCATTGGAGATAACACCCAAACGCAGAACAACCTTTTCATATGTTGTACTAGATTGGGGATGGATTCTCTTTTTTCAGTGGGTGCTAATCATTGTCGCTTTGTTCGATATGATTATGGAAGACCCAATTTTCATCAGTGATGATGATTCTTTCACAAGAAAGATCCGATAGCAAGACTTCTCTTAAATGACGAGAACGTCTCTTTGATTGACCTGAGAACCAATCAGATGATCAGGGACATATTGACAAATTTTAAACACATTTCCGAGGCCTTGATAGTGTTTTATAATCGGAGTATGACATATTGAACTGTTTTGCTATCTCTCGTGCTGTTTGTTTTGAATTTTCCTCAAAAACGTTTTACAAAAGATCGATATTGATAGAACGTGGTCGTTCAAAGGGCAATCATCGGAAGAAAAATTTCCCTTTCGAAATTGACCAAGCCATCATTGGCATGTCTAGACATTTAAAACTAAATTTCTAAGAATAAAAATATATATATTATTGCTTACTGCTTCCGTTGCTGAAGAACTCTTTTCGAATTCATACAATGTATGATATGTGTCAGATCTAAAAGGGTAAAAACTATGAATTGGGATCAAATATAGATCAAATATGGATTAGAATCCGACAGAATGATAGGATAAAGAACAAATAGGAAAATTTATTTATATATATATATATATATATATATATATATATATATATATATATATATATAACGGAACGGTGTAACAGCAAAATTATCCAAATTGTGTAACAGCAAAATTGTCCAATTGTTACATTAAGCTCTGAACATTTGTATCTTGGAAATGATTAAAGATATTTTAATGGAATTATCCGAGGTTTTTATAACACTATTGGACTCTACTTTCAGTAATAAGAATGTATAATTACCCTCTAAGCTTAACCGAAGTATTGTGATGAAATCGATGATAAACAAAAATGACATGTTCATCATTAATTATTCATACGATTGAAAGAACATGAAGTATTGAAATTAAGTCCATTTAAATATGTGTATATTAATCCAAGATCATTTTCCAACTTATTCAAGATGATCTCCGCCATCTCTAAACTTCTAACCCTCTGTCCTGGAGTAACAAGTTGACTCACAAATTTCACCTACGATTTCATTTTCAAGTCTTTTTTCACTGCTCTTTGGACTCTCATAGCTGAAACTGTCACGTGCCAAACGTCATATGAATTGAGTTGGATCTTTTCTAATTGATCTCTTTGACTCTAAGTTGAAATGATGATCCCTCTTCATGTTGGGACCTCCTGATCCAGTTTTTCTCTTTACTGTGCCCTCTTTTTTAAACTTCTCTTGATGGTTCTTGAATGAACTTTGACGGTGGAAGCCAGAGACTGAATGTTGATACCATTACTGAAAGCCTGAATGATCTTTTTCCTCGTATTTACCAATTTTTGACGGTTCTTGAATGAACTTTGAAGATGGAAGCCAGAGTATGAATGCTGGTACAATTACAGGAGGCCTGAATGGTCTTTTACTCTCACCATTGCTCATTTGGGAAGTCAGTGGGCCTGACACGAAACAATTTTAACTTGCTCTCTCTTAGCTGAATAACTCAAAAGTTTTTTCACTGATTCTTATGAAAAACAGTATGAAGATGGCTAAACGTCTTATCTAAAAACCTGGAAAAAAGAAACACAATTAGTTTAGTGTTTTTTTAGATATTAAACATTTTGTCAGATGGACAATTATGCTGTTACACGATTTGAACAATTTTTGCTGTTACACACGGTATCTATATATCTATATCTATCTATCTATCTATCTATCTATCTATCTATCTATCTATACATACATATATATATATGTGTGTGTGTGTGTGTGTGTGTGTGTGTGTATATATATATATATATATATATATATATATATATATATATATATGCAGTGTGTGTAATGTTTTTCGGAGTAAATATATGCATGAAGATGATATAGAGGGAATATTCATATATTGATAAGTATATCGCGAGATTTACATCATTTAGATCATAATGCAGATCAATAATGAAATATATATATATATATATAAGAGAGAGAGAGAGAGAGAAAGTTAGTGAAATTTTCATTTGTAAACCGATAATAAGGAATCTGCAATAGATAAATAATTAGCCATCAAGCTACATAGTGTGTGCATTAAACTTTTTTAATACATTTATACTTTGCCTGGAAAATATTTTGTTTAAACTGATATAACTTTATGATATAGCTGATGTGATTTATTTTAAACCTTACAGGATATAAAACTTGCCCATAAATTCGAGGAGTACGTCAGAAATGACCAAAGATTTGAAATTTTCGGTGAAGTCATCATGGCGCTGGTCTGCTTCCGGTTGAAGGTCAGTAAATGACGAGATTGTTCGGATTTGGCAGCACAATTATTTCCTTATCATAAAACATTTTTTTTCATTTAAAGAAGTATAAGTTTTTCATTAATGTTATGAAAGGAGATATATATATCATTTCTAATAATTTTTATTTTTTCTCTTATATATATATCATTTCTAATAATTTTTTATTTTTTCATCCACATTCTCTTTTTAAAGTCCATCATTGACCAATTTTAACCAGCTTGTAAATCTATCAATATATTTATATTGATCGAATCTATTATCCTCATTCGATTGATATGTTTTTTTCTTTTTCTTTTTTTTTTCTAAAGTTCTTCTGTATTAATTTTAAATATTTTACTTTTCATTTTTATTGTTTTGCTTGTTTTTCTTGTTTACTTTTGTTTCTTTTTGCTTTGTATCTTATTTTGTCTTTTTGTCTCGTTACATCTTATGTCCATTAAATAAATAATATTAATCAATATGCTTATGATTCATTAAATAAATAGCGTGGGAAATCATTGACTATTCTTCGTGGGAGACAATCAGTCATGGATGGAGCTTTACTGCTTTGGCCACGGAATTTCATATATATATATATAATAAGTGGATTATGAAATGTTCTTGGCCTGAGATTCTCCACAATACAACCAAATGACCAAACATCGCAATATTTTGATCGGGCCAATAACTTTTCATCTCCATTAATTCTTAACAGTGCATATATATATATATATATATATATATATATATATATATATATATTCAAGAAGGTTTGGTTAAATAATTCAGACGTATTATACCTGTTTATTTTAGTTTTAATCTTTTCAATCCAAGAATTAATTAAAACTAAAATAGACATCTAAACTATTTAACCAAACCTGCTTGAATGAAAATATGCTAAAAATATGCTGCTTTCTCTCTCTCTCTCTATATATATATATGTGTGTGTGTGTGTGTGTGTGTGTGTGTGTGTGTGTGTGTGTGTGTGTGTGTGTGTGTGTGTGTGTGTGTGTGTGTTTTAAATATCTACTTTCGGGATAGTATCTGTGGTCATTCAGGACTGTAATGCCAGTTGTCGCATTTCCATGGACCCTGTGTGAAGAAATATACAGGTCTGAACGCATCGTGATACTGAAAATAAGGTATGCCAAACTTAATAGCCACTAGCGGAAAAGGAGAATTAACTACTTTTATTAAGAGAATAAAAGAAATTGCACAAAATAAATTTATTTATATATTTAAGGATATTTTTAGTATAGCTCTCTTCTCCTTCCACATATGTTCGATTATGTTAAAGTCTGGGCTTTCAGCGGGTTAATATTATAATGCTGCAATGTCTTCATCAGTGAAAAACTTTTTTTGTTACACGCGATGTATGGCAGTGTGATCCATCTTGGTGGAATATTTCACCTTCTGCTATATCTGATAGTTGGTGGATCTTTAGTAAAGTAATATATGTTCAATCGATTTTTATCTACTTTCTTGTACCATTTCTTTTGATGGAGCTCCAAATCATGAAACTCCCATTGTTAAATGTTACTTTAGTTGTTCTACATTTTGGATTGTCTCTTGTACCAATTGGTTCTTGGACACACATTCTTGAATTAGAATTCAGTTCTATTTTGCTTTCCTCACTATATGATCATTTTTCATCATATAGCAGAGGTTCTTATGTTTTCGTCTTGTTCAATGTTTTATGGTTAATGATGTCTTTTTTGCTGCAATTTTGTATTCATTTCGATTACTTTTACAAGTTATCCTTCTTACTGTGAAACTGATACTTCATTAGTAATACTGCTTTCATACATTACTTGATGAACTGTTAATTTTCGTTTGGATGCTGATAACCTCGTTAGCTTTCTTTGACCTCTTTTGTTTAATTCCAAAAGTCTTTTTTATTGATATTCAAAACGATCCCAGCATCGAGATGCTTCTTCTGAGTAATTTGGACAGTATGCTTTAATATACCAAAAATTCACGTTGACTCATTTTTTAAGACATTTCGATAAATTTAACGCTCATCTTAAAATTCATTTTCGTATTTTAAAACTTGAATCAACCACACTGAAAAGACAAGTTGAAAGCCCCAAACTTTATGCCATCTGTGTTTGATAATTTAACATGAAATATTTGCATGCGTATTATCATCTGTGATAATGTTATCTCTGAGGTGTGTTGCTCATAACTTTTGCAGGCCCTATTTTCATCATCATCATACGTTCAGTCACCGTGTCCCTTCGTGCTGTGTTCACAGTGATACGACAATTGTATCACAATCTTGAATGACCGTAGGTACATCTGAAAATACATTATCAAATACTTACAGCTTCTTAGTCATTCTACCTAAGTGGCTTATTTCTTTTTGATCCCCACTAATATATATATATATATATATATATATATATATATATATATATATTAAAGAGTAGAGGGAAGCCACAAACGTTTTTGGTTATAATGTGGATTTTTTTAAAAATATATATTATACGTTATTTTCCATATTTTTGCTACACGTGTTTCGGGTTTTGCAACCTTCATCAGGTGAAGAATGGTTATTTCATATAATATTTAAAGGAATTAATATTTTCTTATTTTTTCCTGATGTTTAACCCATGTCTTTTTTTTGTATAGTAATAATACAAATTTTCAACTATAACCTCTTCCTTGTATATATATATATATATATATATATATATATAATGTTATCTCGGGACCCTTAGGGTCGTAAGGGCATCATGTATACTGCAGCCGTAGTAGAAGTGCTGTTTCTTGGGCAAGATAAACGGAACCCAACACTCTCCAGGCCGGTTTTGAATTCTGAGTAATATATATATATATATATATATATATATATATACCGGGTGTAACAGCATAATTGTCCACCGCACAAAATGTTTAATATCTAAAACACCACTAAAATAAATTGAGTTTCTTTTTTCCAGGTTTTCAGATAAGACGTTTAACCATCTTGACACCATTTTCGTAAATAATCAGTGTAAAACCTTTTGAGTTATTCAGCTAAAAAGAGAGCAGGTTAAAATCGTATTGTGTCAAACCCACTGTCTTCCCAAATGAGCAATGGTGAGAGTAAAAGACCATTCAGGCCTCCTGTAATTGTACCAGCATTCATACTCTGGCTTCCATCTTCAAAGTTCATTCAAGAACCGTCAAAAATTGGTAAATACGTTTATAACAGAGGGAACAGTAAAGAGGAAAACTGGATCAAAGGGTCCCGACGTGAAGAGGTATCATCATTTCAACTTAGAGCTAAATAGATCAATTAGAAAAGATCCAACTCAATACATAAGACCTTGGCACGTGAGAGAGGAGTATCAGCTATGACAGTCCAAAGAACTGCAAAAACAGACTTGAAAAGGAAATCGTGGGTGAAATTTGTGAGTCAATTTGTTACTCCAGGACAAAAGGTTAGAAGGTTAGAGATGGCGAAATTCATCTTGAATAAGTTGGAAAATGATCTTGGATTACTATATACATATATCTGAAATTAATTTCAATCCTTCATGAGCTTTCGGTCCTTAGCTATGATTAATTAATGATGAACATGTCATTTTCGTTTATGATCGATTTCATCACGATACTTCGGTTAAGCTTAGAGAGTAATTACACATTCTTATTGCTCAAAGTAGAGTCCAATAGTGTTATAAAAACCTCGGATAATTCCATTAAAATACCTTTAATCATTTCCAAGATACAACGCTTCAAAGCTTAATGTAACAATTGGACAATTTTGCTGTTACACGATTTGGACAATTTTGCTGTTACATCCTGTATATATATATATATATATATATATATAGAGAGAGAGAGAGAGAGAGAGAGAGAGGAGAAAGAAAGACTGAATGAATGAATGAATGAACCTGACCTGACGATACTTCATTTTTTAGGCTGAAACTTGAATTGTCTCCATTTTATTTTTTATTCTTCATTTATTTTACGTTTCATAGGTTCTACGTTGTATTGCCAACTTTATAATAGTTGTAATTTATCAGCTACGATTTTGTGTAGTTATTTATATTTCTCTGTGTGTGTGTGTGTGTGTGTGTGTGTGTGTGTGTGTGTGTGTGTGTGTGTGTGTGTGTGTGTGTGCTGTTGAGAATTACATTTCAGCTTCACTGACTACATCATTAGTCCTGGGTATGACGATAAACTACATCCGGCAGCAAGTTCTCTCATCGGGAATTTGGAGGTTTTGAGAAGCGTGGAACCACCTTTTAATTTGTGTTGTTCCCATGTCCACCCGGGCCCGGGGTGGTAGCACCTGTCAAGGCTCCTACCTATGAGCAAATAGTGAACACCCAAACAAAACACTATGAAACTATAAAAATACATTTTCATAGTAATAATACAAGCAATACATTTTTATATTAAAAAATTACCAACAATACATGTTATCTGTATTTGAAGGCACACAATTTTGTTCAAAATATATTTAGTTGAGGGTATAAAATTGTGTTCAAAATATTTAGATTTCAGCATTAAATAACCTATAGATGTTGATATGTTGCTAAAAAAATAAACAATAAAAAAAGATTACATCTGTGTGTGTTTCTTTTGTTTATTTTTCAGGGCAGTAATGAAATTAATGAAAAACTAATCAAGAGTATAAATGAAGATGGGCGAATCCACATGGTCCCCTCCAGAGTGGACGACACTTTCTTTCTGCGTCTCTCTATTTGTACCACCCGCACTCAGAATCATGACATCGATTTTGCCTGGAAGGTCGTCTCCGAGGTGGCTGACAATGTTCTGAAGACGGCGAAGTGAAGCAAAAGTTAGAACTCTATTTCTTTTTGTTTTGTTTTGTTTTTTTTTGTTTTTTTCTGTGATACAAACATCATTGCAGAAGAAAGTAAAATGTAGATCAATTTTTTTAGCGAGATGTTTCGCGAGAAGAAGCGGTGGACATCTAGTATCGATTATCAAAAATTAGAACTGTGGACCATTTTTTAAATGTTTTTTTTTTTTTGTCCTCTTCCTTGGTGTTTGTTTAGTTGCTTACTCTGACTTTTCGCCCCGGCAGGGATCTTAACATTAGTATTATTATTATTTTAAAATCTCTCTCTCTCTCTCTCTCTCTCTCTCTCTCTCTCTCTCTCTCTTATTGACAGAGTATAGTATTTAAAATGAAATTTACATAAGATCAGTGAATTATTGTTTTTTTTTTCAATTAATTCTTTATTATGATGGCTACTATTGTCTATTGAGAGAATTTAATTTTGAAACGCTGACTGGCGATCATTTGTAGTTAATAAATTATCAACAAATTAAAAATTCCCAACTCAGAATTCCTTGATATCAATTCAGTGAAAAATTTCCAGACGATAAATTACAAGCAAAAAATAAATCTATTCGGCTAAATACGTTTTACTTCCGATAAGAATTTTGTTTGTATCATGTCAACTTCATATTCTATCTATCTATCTATCTATCTACTAATATTTTTTTCCTTCCTTTCTCGAGAAGATATTTTCATATTTGGGTGAGATATGAACGGATTGGATAAATATGAATGACTGAATGTAGGGGTAAATGAAATGAGTGTGGATATGAATCATTCTGGGTGGCTATGGACGGACACGAGATTAGCAAGAACTGAATAGGGTGTGAACATAAAACGGACAATGGATAGATATGATTGAACTTGAGATATATAAAACGGAACTTGAAGAACGTATTTGGAGTATATATAAATATACCTTAAAGTCATGGACAAAATCCATGCGTCAGGTGTGAAGCAATTTCTTAAAAGTTTATTATGCACAAACAAATTACGTGTTTGCTTCCGTTGGAGGATTGTGTTGTCAAAAGATCCATAGAATTTAAGAAATGCAAATACAGTTTTACACAAATGGATTCAGCTGCGAAACAGATCATAGCGTCTTAATCTTCTCGTTGAAATGTCCACAGATCTCGAAACTAAATCCCTAAAGCAAAAAAAAATGTAAATATTATTAATAAATTACTTTGATCTTTGCCGTTTTCACTTGCATGATAAAAATATTAATGAAAACTAATTTGAAATAATTCAACAATTTCTTCGATGAAATGTCTGTTTGTTAAAACAAAATGAGACAATTGAGAAGTCAAATCTATTTTATTTTTATTGTTTTATTTTCTTTGATTTTGTTTCTTTTATCCCAACACATTCTGTCAATACACTTTTTATTATTACTATTATTTTATTGCTAGTTTTACTCCATCTCATTGTTTTTCTCACACACTACATCGATTCACGTTTTGGCTGCTGTGGGATACAGATCGAAATCGGAAAGATGTAGCTGTCGATGAGATTTTCTGATTTCTTTGTGCATTACGCAAATGGCCGAAGAGTATATCGACCCTAGGTGCAATTATAAAATTTAATAATAATAATGATATACATAGTAAAGAAGCGTAAAATCTTCATTGGAAAATATACCAACATTATAACTTAGCTCGGGCACCTCGGTGTGGTGTAATGACTAGCAAGCTTGTCTTGCTAGAAAAATTTACGGCTTAGTACCGAGTTCGATCCTCAATTGGTGCCCCATACGCTTAGAAAATCAATATAATTTAGCTTATACTGAAAAATGGTATAAGCAATATCCACCACCAAGTGACAGTGCTACAGAAATACAATATATAACCTAAAATAGAAGATATTGTTATAAAAAACAATATAAATGCTATGTTATTAACATGACCATACCGTTTAATAAAAACATTTCAGTGAAAGAATTTGATAAACTCTCCAAATATCCAAATCTAGAAATAGAAATTAGGAGAATGTGGTATTGAAACAATCATTATTCCATGAGTTATTGGAGTGTTAAGAATGATTAAGAAGATTAATATTCCAAAAAATGAAAAACTTAGTAATTATACCAAACAGCAAATCAAAATAAATAAATGTTATGGTCCAAGTTCCTTGTACCACGATGATGGTCCAAGGTTAGAACCAATGAAAGAATAACACGAACACAGGTATGGAATACAAAGATATATTACAACAGAAATATAATACAAAGAAGTAGAAGTATTAGTAATGACTATCAGATTTGGTTAGAGTGAACTATGTTGTCTTGACAAGTATCACTATTTCAATGTCCTTACAATATACTCTCAATTATCTCTCCTCGTCTTACAAATCTCCTCATACCTCTTGAGAGGCGCAGTATTTATAATGTCAGGACTAGTCAATTATTATTATGGGTAAGTTCCCATAACAATAAATAATAGTGAAAATGTTTCATCTAAAATCTGTCAAAAAAAATAACTTCAAAAGAGTCAAACAAAGATGGAGTAAATAATCGACGAGGGACGATTGACAGGATGTGGAAAAATCTGTGTCCCACTTAATTATGAAAGCCTCCATGGTCGATGTGGTTTAGGCATCGATGTTTTATTCAATAATCATTATAACAACTTTTGTATTTCTTAAATTATATGATTATTTAAAAATTCAAACTTCATCGAATTGTGATTCTCCTTTTATACAAAAATGATTCACGTGAAATTATTGAAACAAAATCCTAGTCAATGTGGCCTCCCGTGATAATATTCATAATAGAATATTATAATTATATATATTATATAATATTATAATTATATAATACAATTTATGACCCCTAGAAAATTGGTCGTCGAGACGTGCTTGGTAACCAACATATGATAGCACCTGTGATAAATACAGTTGAGTTGTTGTAATATTACTAACATTTCACTGTTTAGATGTCCAATATAGTTTAAACATTATGTTTAAACCTTAGCACAAGTCTTCCACTTTTTCTGTACATAATGGTCGACGAATAGAAAAAAATCTATTGAACACGAAAATTATTTACACAGACACGAGCAGATTGATAGTTTCTCTTCCCTTCCCCACCATTTAACCTTGGGCCACACTAAACTGAGTTTAATAAACATCGATAGAGTTACTTTTCAAGTGCGATTTAGCTTCGCGATCTACGGGTATTTCAATAAATATATAATCAATTGGCTAATTGTTTCATATTTCCTACTGGTACCAGTGGTTCGAGCCCAGATAAAAAGCTAAGATTTGCAATGCTGATTCTCACTAACTGTAACGACTGGTACTCTTCCTTTCCCAGTTACAATACAGTGTAACCCGGATATAAGAGTTGTCGGGACCGGAGAAGAAGTCTCTTATATCCGGGTTTCTCTTATATCTGGATTTGGTCTATTTTATATACATTAACACAGGCTCTAATTTGGGACCAGAGAAAATCTCTCTTATATCCGGGTTTCTCTTATATCCGGGTCTCTTATATCCGGGTTACACTGTACTTTGAATCTTACACGGAATCAAAATAAGTTTATTATACACTGATACTATTACTAGTATCTTCATTTTGTTTTTTGTTTTTTTTAGTTACAATGTTTCAACTGTTGTACTTTCCAGCCGTCTTCAGGTATCTGTCGTTGTTGGATATCTTCTAGTATGACCAACGGAATAAGAACTATAGATTGAATAAATGATTCGGTTCTAAGATCCCAGGAGGTTATTAACTACGACATAACCGATATTATAAGATGAAGACACCGCCCCGATTAAATCAGTGTATATGAGTGATAATTCCTCATTTTAAAAATTCAGACATAAACTAGAAATCTATAATCATAGGCAAGGGTACTTGATTAGGATTTTAAGATAAATTTGGGGGACAATGTATGCATGTATATTTACTGACTTTTTCACTGGCTCTAAGTGGTGGTGGCTAATGTTTCTGCGTTCCCCAATGTTATAAAGTTCATATAACGTTCGTAGTTGCTGGTTAGTAAGAAAACTGTAAGGAAAATACTGGAAACAAAGGGTTGAGTGAAGAAGGGTGTAATCACATGAGAACATGGATTGAGAATACGACAAGCGTACGACTGGAAAGCGCTACGCCTTTGCGACCCACTTCTTCCCCTGTTCCATGAGCAGACGTTCTACTCATAGCAAATGGAAGAGTCCATGTTTCAATGATAGTGTAGAAAAGGTTAGACAGTCCTAATACGGATGTTCAAATAGACATAAAATTGAAAATATCTGTTACAACCTAACAGTAATAATGACATGCTGTGAGTGTACAAGGAAAAATTATCAGGTTATTGCGTAACAGATCTCCCATAGATGTTTTCCTACTCGTTAACAAAATAATCTCTTAAAATTGCAGTTAATAAGGAATATTTTGGAATTTTATTTTTTCATGATTTTTAAAACAGTTATTATTTAATAACAATATTTCAGCTGCAATAAAAATATTAAAATAATTTTTTTTTTTTTGCTTTTCAAAATTCAACTAAATTTTTGAAGATCTTTATAAAAATATGTTAGTGTAAAATATTTATAAAATATTAGTGTAAATACTGAATGATATTGAATAAATCAAACTGAAAAGTATGAGGTGTAAATCATATTTTATTTGATTTAGTAGTTTTAACATTTGTTTTGGGGCATATTTTCGAATCCAGCACTTTTTTTCAAAACACAAAAAATTAAAGATTAAAAAAAATACTTAAAATTCTCAAAGGAATTATCTTTTAAAGTATGTAAAACATATTTAAAGTCAACGGTATTTTACTAAGATTTAATAAATTAAATATTTACATTAAATAAAAGCTAATCTTTTTACAATGAAAAACCTTTTAATAAATAAATCCTGATTTCGACATCATACGCTCAGAGAATTTCATTACATTTCAATAATTAGTCGAATTTCCGTAGATTTGGCAAAAAAAAAAAACAAAAAAAAAAAATGCGGATATGTCCCGGGACCAATATCTATAATTTCTTTATCATTTTTTTTTTTTTTTTTTTGAACAATTAAAAACTTGAACTATATCACAGTTAATTTTTTAGTATAAAATCAACTACAATATCTCCGTTTCTATAAATCAGGTGTAAATAGTTTTTAAAATAATACCCATATACTTTTCAAATCATCTTTTTAATAGTACAAAGTTTATAAAAGCGGAATTAACTTTTAAATCGATTTAAATGGATTTTTAGTCGCATCGTTTTTGCGACATATACGAAAACACGCGCGCGCGCACACACACACACACACACACACACACAGGCACACACGGCTTATGGCCATATCACGTTGAAACGCCGGTTCTCGTACGGTCACCAAAGTTAAGCAAAGTCAAGCATGGTTAGTAACTAGATGGGTCACCACTTGGGAATAGTGGGTTCGTTATATTCACCTACAAACAAAATACCCTTGGTAAAGGCATGAATGCAGCTCTTCCCCACTACTACCTATACAGCTTCCCCATGAATACGGATTCCATCACTAAGTTGGAATTGTAAATAATTAGTAGTGAGTTCGAGTCCCACTGGGTGTATATATTTGTGACCTTGTGCGCCACATAAACTACGCTCATTAAATGACAACTGTTCATAACTTTCTAAATAAACGCTTTCGCCTATTCGATCTAGCCATTTAAGAGATCCAGAATTTTTGTGATATATGCCAAAACATTAATATCTGTATAGCAACCTCAATTATAGATAATACCTATATTATTTTAAAATTAATTTATGTTAAACATTATAGCGTATATATATATATATATATATATATATATATATATATATATATATATATATATATATATATATATATATATATATATATATATAGACATTATAGGTTATATATATATATATATATATATATATATATATATATATATATAGACATTATAGGTTATATATATATATATATATATATATATATATAAAAGTGAACATAGAAGTCAACACTTAGAGGCGACAGTCTGTTTCATGCTATATGCAATCGTCAGGCCACGTGTGCTGTTATTTTTCTCGGCTATTTATATATATACGGGTTAGTGGTGCATTGTGGGTATTCTATTATGGCGGTTATTTTTACCGGAAGTCGCTTTGTTCATTTATTTGGGTCAAGTTATATTGCTCGTTTTATTTATTTTTTATTTTATTTTATTTTATTTTATTTATTTATTTATTTTTTTTTTTTTTTTGTTTTTATTTTATTTATTTATTTATTAACGTAGTAAAAATTTGTTTATATCACGTATTTAACAGTTTTGTTTTTGGTTTGAGAATTTAATTAAAGCTATTTGTTCAATTTTGGGGTTGGTTGTTGTAGTTCATTCTAACTATTATTTTTTTAAGGGAACAGTTTTTTAATTTGGGATTGGTTTGCCTATTTATTTACTTGGATGAATTTAGGCCAATTTATTTTTATATTTTCTCTTTTTTGGTTTTCGGTTTTTAAGCAACATAGTACTTATTTATTTATTTTATTTATTTATTTATTTTTTTTTATTATTATTGTATTTGTTTTTATTTTATTTTTTCCGTTTTTCATTTTTTAGGTTACGTAGTAAAAATTTATTTTCATGCCTGCATTTCGCCTCTAAGTGTTGAGTTCTATGTTCACTTTTATATTTACACACGCTCTATCTCTGATATTGAGCACTTTATCCCATAAATATAGCACACCTTAAGACTATATTTCTTTATATTCAGCTCCTGGTAAACAGTAGAGCACTCTCGCTACATTTATAACACAGTATGGACATGGAAAAATTTAACCTCGACTACTCCCTAAAAAACATACCCATCCCATCCCCTACTATATATAAACTAAAATTAAAAAAAAAAAATAGAAAGTTTCCTAAAAAGAATGAGATGGAAAGTCCACTTTTTAAATCAGGACCTTCACAATAACACACTTAAGAAGGAAAAATACGGCTTCAAAACAAAAAAATGCCCCCCACAACAAAAAGAATTAGACGATTTCGAGAAAGACTTAACTGACCTAGTTAGAAACCATAAAATTCCATAAAAAACAAGATGCATTCCAAAAAAAACTAAAAGCAGATATAACTAAAATAAACAATTCAGCAAGTGTATTTATCGCTGCTGACAAAACGAGAAATTTATACAAACTAAGCCCTCCTACACACAATAAATTACTCAAGAACAACATAACCAAAACATACAAAAAAAGGCACCCCAAACAACAGAACACGATATCAATAAGGAAGCTAAAACAATCGCCCAAAAAATTAGACCTAGATGACCGAATAAATTGTATTAGCAAGGCACGAGCCTTTATCACACTAAAAGACCATAAAGAAAATTTCAAAACTAATCCTGCATGCAGACTCATAAACCCAGTCAAAAGCGAACTAGGTAAAATAAGTAAAACAATACTAGAAAGAATTAATTCTGAACTTAGGAAGAAATTAGGAGTAAACCAGTGGAAAAATACGAAAACAACTATTGACTGGTTCCACAACATAAATAACAAACAAAATTGCCAATTCCTACAATTAGACACAAAAGAATTTTACCCATCTATAACAGAACGTATGCTAGATAAGGCCATCGACTTAGCTCTGGAACAAATAATAATAAAACCAAGCGAAATCAACATCATTAAGCACTCCCCGTAAATCATTATTATTCCACAATGAAGAAGCATGGATAAAGAAAGATGGGATATTTGACACTACAATGGGAAGCTTTGACGGTGCAGAGGCATGCGAAATCATAGGCATTTACTTACTACACGAACTGAGCAAAATAATAGATAAAATGACACAGGACTCTACAGGGACGACGGCCTCATAATCTTAAGAAACTGTAACAAACAAAACACAGACAAAACTAGAAAAGCAATAATAAAGATTTTTAAAAATAACGGATTCGACATAGATGTAAAAACTAACCTAAACGAAGTAGATTTCCTAGATGTGACCTTCAACCCTAAGAGAAGGCACATATAAACCATACAGAAAAACCTAACGATAAACCACTCTACATACACACATCTTCCAACCATCCGCCTTCTATAATCAAACAGATACCAAAATCGATTAACCGCAGGCTCTCCGACAATTCCTCCAATGAATCCCTATTTAACAAAGCTAAAAAGACTATGAAACGGCCCTAAAAGATAGCGGATTCCCAGCAATACTCACATACTCACCACAGAATACAAAAAAGACCAACAGGAGAAGAAATATCATATGGTTCAACCCATCGTACAGCAAGAACGTAAAAACAAACGTAGGAAAATATTCTTCAAACTCTTACACAAACACTTCCCAGAATCAAGCACCTTACACAAGATATTCAACAAAAAATACAGTAAAAAAATCAGCTACAGCTGCACCGAGAGCATGGCACAAATAATAAAAAAAAGCACAATAGGAAAATTATCAACAAACCACACGAACAAATTAAACCCACGTGCAACTGCAGAATAAAGAACGAATGTCCCTTAAACGGAAATTGTCTACAAAACAACGTAATATACCAAGCCACGATAAAATCACCAGATAACGAAGAAAAAGTATACATAGGAGTAACTGAAGGACCCTGAAGCAAAGAAATTATACACACAAAACATCGTTCAAAAATAGTAAATATGCGAACAGTACTATGCTTTCTAAGTATATTGGGAAATAAAAAACAAAACGCACATCACACAAAAAAATATCTTGAAGATAAGGAAAAAAAAGTCATCAGCCCACAACAACCAATCAAAAACTTGCAAACTTTGCTTGGAGGAAAAAAATAGCTATCATTACTTTCCCCGACCAAAATAAATTATTAAATAAAAGATCCGAGCTCATCTCAAAATGCAGGCAGGAAAATAAATTTTACTACGTAACCTAAAAATGAAAAACGGAAAAATAAAATAAAACAAATACAATAATAATAAAAAAAAAATAAATAAATAAATAAATAAATAAATAAGTACTATGTTGCTTAAAAACCGAAAACCAAAAAGAGAAAATATAAAAATAAATTGACCTAAATTCATCCAAGTAAATAAATAGGCAAACCAATCCCAAATTAAAAAACTGTTCCCGCCAAAAAATAATAGTTAGAATGAACTACAACAACCAACCCCAAAATTGAACAAATAGCTTTAATTAAATTCTCAAACTAAAACAAAACTGTTAAATACGTGATATAAACAAATTTTTACTACGTTAATAAATAAATAAATAAAATAAGAAACAAAAAAAAATAAATAAATAAATAAAATAAAATAAAATAAAATAAAATAAAATAAAAAAATAAATAAAAACGAGCAATATAACTTGACCCAAATAAATGAACAAAGCGACTTCCGGTAAAAATAACCGCCATAATAGAATACCCACAATGCACCACTAACCCGTATATATATAAATAGCCGAGAAAAATAACAGCACACGTGGCCTGACGATTGCATATAGCATGAAACAGACTGTCGCCTCTAAGTGTTGACTTCTATGTTCACTTTTATATTTACACACGCTCTATCTCTGATATTGAGCACTTTATCCCATAAATATAGCACACCTTAAGACTATATTTTTATATATATATATATATATATATATATATATATATATAGACATTATAGGTTATGTATATATGTATATAACTCATGCACATAGATAACACACACTTATATCTTGCGTTGGGAAAAAGATCATTATATTTTAAAATAAAGAAAAATTGTAACTAACTCGAACCGTTCATGGCCACCTGACTAAATGTCGATAAAAACCGTGTAAATCCGTAATTTCACTCAGAACAAAAGGGCGACTGGATAGATTTTCTGTTAAGATTAATCTATCCTGAATTAACCACTAACATTTGAAAGAACGAATTAACGGAAAATAGTGAAAATGAAAGAGACAAAAATTACTTGGTCGAATGCACTAAATACGAATGAAAATTTCACCACTTGATAAAGAATATATATATTTTTCTTATTTAGTCACTTTCTTTCTAACAATATATTTCCTATTGACGTGAAACTATTGTCCCAAAATCCCTCGTAATTGTTAACAAATGACTGGATTCGAACTTACGGACAGATACTTTTTAGTTTTTCTGTTTCCGGTTGCAAATCTTACATATCATTGATGTGATTGATTTACGAAAAGAAGTTATTTTAATGGAAGAAACTGATTTTTTTTTCTTTCTAAATTAATTGTTCATTCAATATTCCGATACGCTATTAGCGTGTATGACATTTTTCTCAATGTAAAAGACGTTATTCACGTACCAGTATTGGTTTTAAGAAGTAGCTACAATAACTCTTGTTTCGACAATATATTCTTGTACGGACGGCCATTGATAATAAAATCAAGTTGCTATTAAATTCTGTTTCTGTGGAAAATGCAACTGCAT